ATTCCCTTCCAGCCTTTCTGTCTCAGCTTGCTTTAAATTTCAAACACACTTTGATTCAAGCCAAAAGCTTTTTATGCTAAACAGAAACTGAAAGTCTTGATCTGGCAAACAGAGGCACTGGTGAAATTATGTCCATGGGGGGAAACCACTGGGGACGAGGGGAATAAGGTTTGTAAAGCCTGGTGCTCCAGCAGAGGAGGGGGCAGGGAGAGCTTGGAAACACTTAAATGGCAAAACCTGTGGAAAAAGTAAGGACAGAGAGGCCAGGATGTTTAAGGTCCGTTTTTAATCCCTGCCAATGAATTTCCATTCTGTGCCAAAACTGAAATAAACTGCTTTGATCTGAAAAGGAGGAGAAAAACACACACACGGGTTCTTGGCTTTTTAAAACAATACAGATGACAAAGGAGGCAACTACGATAAAAATTAACACAGCGCAGCTCTGCTGACGGTGACGTTTTGAAATGCCCCTTTCCTCCAAATAAAGAGGACTCTGGAGGGGGTCAATTAGGAAACAATTACACAGGTCTGTGGATCACAGCATCACCGAGCACGCATCCCTCCCTCCCTCCCTCTGATCCCCCTCCAGCAGCCACCAATGCTTACATCTGTCTCCTTTTTTAACCATTTATCAATTCCTTAGGTTTCCATGGCCAGGAGTGGGGCCTGGGGCCGAGCAGGGCTCCAGATGTGACCCTGTAGCCCCCTGTGTGGTGCCAGACCTCCCACCTCTGAGCTGGCCTCTCTTCTCCTATTTATACACCCATCCCAGGGGTCCCAGTGCTCCCCTAACCATTCCCAGATGCCAGGCTGGCCTCGCTCTTCATCCTACCCCAGTCCCATCAGTTCCCAGCTCCCTCCTGACCTCCTTCCCTGCCATCACAGGCTGGAGCAGGGATGTCCGTTTCATTGTACTGAGGTTAATGATACTATGATCCATCTGAGTTCCTGATTTAGGAGCAGGACCACTGTGTTGTGAGCCCAGGAAGGGTCTGCAATGCTGCCACAGAGAACACAACCACCCAACCCCAGCAAACTTTGGTACTGAGGTGGTTTAAGCATCCTCTCAGACCCCTTCCCAATTTTAGAAAGCAACTTGACTCCAGCAAATTTGGGGTAGGGGTAGAATCAGGGTTCACAGCCCATCCTCACCCTTTACCACGCTGGAAGGTGCCAGACATCGAGTGAGTCCAATTTGTTGGGAGAAGGATATGTCATGTCCAGGGATGCTCCTCCTGAACCACTGCAAGCCCATCCAGAAAATGCTCTCACTTGGCATTAGTTACCCACAACACCTGTAGGTTTGAGATGCTCCCAGGTGAGCCTGAATTTTGTCCTACTTTCAAACCACCATATGCACAAAGGAAAAAAACCCCAAAATTATTAGTCTCAGGCAGACTGAAAGGAGGCCTGCAGTGACAGGAGAATACCTCCAGGGAGGATGCAAAATGCCAACCTAGTATAAATCCCAGCTCAAGAAAAGTGGCACAGGGGCAAACTGAAGCACAGAGACAAGGCCTGGCCCATGAATGTGTAATGAATAATTAACAAGCTGTGCTGGAGATCCAGACCTTCTCCTCTGACCTGCTCTAGCCACAGGACTGGATCCACCCCCAGGCAGCACTGAGGCCATGGGCCCACTTGCAGGTCCAGGGAGGGATTAGGCAGAGCTCTCCATCCCTACAAAGCCCCTCCTGCCTCTTCTCCACTACGTTCCCACGCAGCAGGGCTCTATTTATAGAGACCTCCACCGCTAATTATAGATCGCAGCAATCAAAACAAAAGGAGGCAGAAGCTCTGCACTTGCCACTCGTTGGCTCCATCCCCTTAGCCCGGCACTGCTCTTGTGGCAGCTCCCATATCCCAACCAAAACCTTCCAAACCACCCCAGCACCGTGGTGCCAGGCTGCTCTCCCGTGGCAGCAGCCGCTGTGGTTTCACTGGGGACCACAGGGTGTTTTACCAGGAGAACTGAAACTTGTCCTCGGACACTCACAACACAGCAGCTCAATCCCAAGCCTGTCCCCGACTTCCTGTCACCCTCTTTGCTGCGTTCCCTCAATGGAAGACAGGCTTTGCTGGATACTTCAGCTGCTTCCCCTGTCATCATCCAGCATGAAGGTTTATCAAACAGCAGGAGCAAGTCAGTGCTGAGGGGTAATTGCGGGGGTTCAGCATGGGAAGGCAACCCTGAGTGATCAGACAACCTCCATATCCACCCGCGGCTGGGAGGGAGGAATTTCTGCACGTCTGAGCAGGCTCGGCTTAGCCAGGGCTCAGCAGAGCTGGGAACGGCTGCTGGCACACTCCCCATGGAGGGGAAGGGGATGTGATCTGCTTGGCATTCCCAGGGGCCAGGCAGGCTCTGGGTGCCAGCAACTGTATCCAGCAGAAAGAGGGAGACCCCAGAGAGAGAGTCTGGCAGCTCAGCCTGGTTCAAGGGGATATAAGTCTGTGCACATCCTCCCCATTGTGGCCATCATGCAGAAGTTTGAGTTTTCAGACCAGAAATATGGTAGAGAAAGGACAGACAGAAGGACAGACATACAGAAAGGAGGCCGAGCCTGAGCATAGACTTGGGATCAGCTCAAGTCTCAGGAGGTAGCTGGATGCCAGTGGGGTGGCTGGTGCCTGCTTGTCCCAGCTTCCATGCCCAAAATGCTCCAATCCAACACAAACTTGACCCACCCCATGGCAAAAGGCCCCTGTGCCCAAGGCTGCTCTGTTCTGCAGCATTGACATCTTTTGGGACCCCTGAAGTCTCCCCAGCTTGTGCCTTTGAGCCGCCCCTCCACACCCCACTGCTCTCCCACCTGCTGGGAGCAAGGAGCAGAGTCTCCCTGGGCAGGCATAGGAGCACATCCACCACCATCACCAGCCCCAGACTGCCCTCCCAAGCTCACCCCTCCCTCCAATCCCATTTTTAATGACAGCAGAAATTGCCAAACCCACAAAATTAACGTCTAAAAGGTTCAAGGCAGAGCCATTCAATCCCAGCCTGGAACTGCCTGGGAGGTCTCTGGCCAGCTGCTGCCCAGCTACCGCACGCTGCGGAGGCTGCTCTGCACCGAGGCCCCCACGGGACCCCCACTCAGCTCCTGAGGGGAACTGGGGCACACTGGGGGTAGATCATCCCATTTGCAAGGGCTGCAAAGTGGATCCCTCACAGAAAAAACAGCGTCCCCCTGGGTGAGGCCCCAGCCCTGTTACTCCTTCCCAGCCTGTGGAGGTGGTGGGGACACGGCAAGGAGCCGGCACAGTTGGAGGAGAGGAGAGACACAGGCAGGGAGCAGAACACCTCAGAACACCTCAGGGGAGGAATCAGTGCCCTGCAGCAATGCCTGAGGTGCTGGGGCACGGGACTGGCTCCTCACATCCCCCACAGCCTGACCTGAGTGCCACCAGTCCCCTCCAGTGACCCCTAACACTCAGTCATCACAGCCTGATGCTGTGGGGTGGTGACAGCAGAGCTGGTGCAGGCAGCAGCACAGATCCCACGCAGGGACGTGCTCCACAGAAAGGTCAGGAGAGTATTTTTACACCATGTGTCAGACTCCAATGAGGAGGAAGGATCCGTGACTGTCTCCTTCAGCTATGGCAAGGCCGGACTCTCCTGACCACCTCCAATGGCACCACAAAGGGCCATGGGGGCAGCAAGTGCAGGTGCCAGCATGGTGGGATGTCACACTGCCCAGGACACCATCCCACGCTGCACATGTGCACATTCCCTTTTTGTTTGTATTTTTCCACTTTCTCCCTTCTCAAGGGGAAAAAGCCCAAGAGACACCTGGAGAACCACAGGATGCTCCTGCTGTCCTCTGTGTGCTCTCTGGCAATAGTCCCCCAGGGTGCACAGGGTTGGGGCACTGCCCGGGTGCTTCTGCCCAGATGCAGCAGAATCTGGGGCAGGTCAAGCTTCTCAGGATGCAAAGAGGCAAAAAACCCCCCCAGATTGTGTTTCCTAGCATCCTTGTACCTCTACCTCACATTGGGGCATCTCCCTGCTCCAGCCAGACACAAACCACTGTTCTGTCAGGGTTAGGACAGGAAACACCAGCCCAGTGCAGAGCCAGGTTGCTGACACTGAAAATGTATTAAAGCCTCCCCCGCTCCTACGGAAGACATTTAAATTATTTAGGGCACTTGGACCAACCCCAAGTGAAAATACAAACAAACACACGGCATGAAATTTGAGCCACACTTGCCGTGCCTCCCCATCCCACAGTGCCCTCGCAGGAGGCATTGGAGGAGGACCAAGGCACACTGACCTTGTAGGGAGCCTCCCCACCACAGACACAGGTTCCTGTGTGTCCCTGTTCCACAGGTGCACTGCGCCCAGTGGCTTTGTGAACCTCCTGCCCAGGTGGATCTCAGCACATGGGTACCCACTGTGCCAGCACACACAATCTCAGACACCCTCCCACAGGCTTGCTGTAGCCAGGAGGACAAATCAGCAGCCCAGGGTGGTCAGGGTAGGGTTGACACGCTGGGTTCTTCAGCCTCACTCTGTAGCTCGCTGTGGAGGGGTTTCCCTTCCTTTGATCCCCCCTCTTGTTTTCCAACAGGAGCAGTGCTGGTGGCATGCTGCAGCTCCGGGGCGGGCAAGCAGTGGGAAAGCGTTCCAGCTGACCTACTTTCCACGGGCATCACTAGGCAGGGCCTTCTTCCCGGACACTGCCAAGGTGATTCACCACCACCAAAACCCAGCTGGCACCAAGGAACAGGGCAGGAAGAGGGGAGGAGGGGGGGGATGACATTGGGGTTTCCCCCAGTGCTTCCTGCCAGGAATACCACACCAGGTGGGACCCACACGCCTCCGAAACACCCACCATCCTCTGCAGACCATCCACCAAGCTCCCACGCAAACCTAGCCTGGCATCGAGTCAAACCCAGCGAGCACAACTCTCCTCCAGCTTGGCAGAGCATTCCAAGGGCAGAAGACAACCCTGGCTGATCCCCACATCCTGGACACGGCTGTGTCTGTGCCCGGCAGCACTCACCATCTCGTCGAGGGCGTAGCGCAGCAGCCCGTGCTCGTAGAGGATGAAGAACCGACGCTGCCATTTCTGCAAGAGAAGACAGAGAGCTGGGTCACAGCAGTGCCCACCAGTCCCTGGAGCTGCACAGGAGCTGGGGGTCTGCGTGCACCAGCCCACATCGCCCATTGTTGATTTACTGTCTGGCTTTGTGGGCACCCAAAGGAAGCTGTTTTGGGGTTTCTTCCCCACCCCGCTCCTCTCTGCATTCAGACAGACCCCAAACTGCCCTGATTTAACTATACAGAGGAGAAAAATAACTAAAGACAGAAGATTCTTTTGTCTTTACAAGCCCTGTCACTGCTCTCCAAGAAACCCAAGACCTGCAGGAACTACAGAATACATAGAGTTGGAAGGGACCCATCAGAATCATCAAGTCCAACTCCTGCCCCTCCATAGGACATCCCAACAATCCCACCATGTGCCTGAAACACTGTCGAAACACTTCCTGGACTCAAGCAGGCTTGGGGCTCTGACCACTGCCCTGAGTAGCCTGTTCCAGTGCTCAACCACCCACTGGGTGAAAAACCTTTCCCTCATATCTAACCTGAACCTCTCCTGACTCAGCTTCATGCCAGGAATACCAGGGACAGCAGAAGGATCCCCAAAGTAACTGCTCCCAGCCCTCAGCTTCATCCTGCATCACCTATTCCAGCACCCAGTGCTGGAGGGTGACAGGGTGTCATGTCAAAAGTCCCCCAGCACTGCATGAGCTGGATTTGGATGGTGGCAGTACTTCCAGGGTGGCACTGCCCAGGCGGTCCTGGCACTGTGCTGGTACTGCTGTTTCTGCAGCTGCACAGCAAACCAGATTGGAGAACTGATCTGGCTGGAAAACTGCTTTTTTCATGTGTGCCAGGTTGTTTTCAGCCAAGAGCAAAAACTGGTTCAGCAAGCTGAAATAAAAAAGGTCCTGGATTCATAGCCCCAGTGCAGCAATTCTTATCTTGCTTTTCTCAGCCCTTTGGGCAAAGTCCAGAGTGCTCTGGGACAAGCAAAACTACCAAGGGCCCTGTGCACTTCCACAAGCCCCAGCTGAGCAGGCAGCCTAGAGCCTGGGGGGAACTAGGGTCTCATGTCCCCTTAATGGTGGGCCAGCAAGCCTGGTACTAGCTGTGACTCCAAATAATGACCCATATACCCCAGGCTGAACTCAGAACCCAATTCTTGCTCACTCGGGAGCAATTTTTTTATTACCAACAGCTCTGAGAGCATTTTGGCTGCATGACAGAGGGTTCAGGGACCATTGCCATCCCTCCCACGCACAAGACAGCCCTATCCTGGCAGCCCCAGCAGCAAGTTCCGTGAAAGACAAGCTGGGGGACAGGCTGAAAGTGCTCGTCACAAGCCAGTGGAGAAAGGACACTGGCTTGGCCACATCCTTCTGGGCCTCACACCCCCCAGGGCAGGAAAGTGGGCAATGCTTCGACCCCACATGATGCTGCTGTTTGTGCCAGCCATGAGCAAACCCCTTTGGGAAGGAGCTGAGTGTGTCCTGCTCTGTCTGCAGGTCCCTGCTGCCAACACTTGGCTTCAGAGCTCTGCAGGGTTATAGCAAATGGCAACCAGCTCTCAGCCCCTTCCTTGCCTGCCACAAGCATATCCACATTAGGAGGTGGGATGCAGCCTCCCTCCAGAGCTCTGGACATGCCCATGATGAGTTGCAGAAAACAAAGCAGTTGTTTCCAAGCCCCAAAGGAAAACTGGGAGCTTTCTGATGGTCCCAGCATGGCTCAGAGCTGCACAGCCCACAGCCCACTGGCCTGAGAGCCTTCCTGACAGCACGGCACACGTCAGGCCAACCAATGCAGCATCAAAAAGCAACAGCAACAAGCAATAAAATTGCACAGACTGAGCCTGACCAGCACCTGCAGCGCCCCAGGCTGCTGCCCAGCACAGGAAACCTTGCATCCCAGAGAAGCCATTCAAGCCTTGCTGCAGGAAACATCTTCCAGCTTCCTGGTTTGCACAAGGGGATGGGTGCATGGAGGTGCCTGCGGCACTCCCGGGGTCACAGCCACCCCTGTGGGCAGGGACAGGCCCTTGCTACTCCTCCTGTCACCCCCACCCACTTCATGGGGAGAGGATGTCTCAGCTTCACTCACCCGGGAGCGATGGACAGGGTTGTCAAAGTCCGTTCCTTCCGGGGCCAGCAGCAGCCAGCCACCATAAATGGGTTTGGCCTGCAAAGAAACAGCAGAGAAACACTCAGGCACAGCGGAAACCGGCTCAACATGGATCAGCACCACAGGGAATCGATGGTCATGGACCACAGGAAACCGCACCAGCACTCAGCACGAAGGCAGCTGTGTGAGCTCAGCCTCCTGCACACATGCAATCTCAGCTTTCCCAGTGCGGGGAACACGGTGCCTGATGGCAACGCGTGATTTGACACACGCCGTGTGCCAAGGGGACTGAGACGGGAACTCGGGAGGAGGCAAAACCCCAGGCACAGACTCCAAACACAGCTGCTCCTGCGTGGCATCGTGCCCAGAGCGCCAACTCCTGGGTACTGCCAGGCTGCAGAGCCCGTCCTCATTGTCCTTCCCCTCACCATCGGCAGCGTGCCTCTACTCCAAAGCAAAAACACACTCCAAAGGAGAGCTCGGTGTTTTCCGTTTGTTAATTAAGAGAGGAAAAACTACCCAGCGCTGGCAGTTCTCCAGCTCCCGGTCGCTTCCTGTGCCGTGCACATCCAACTCCTGCTTCCCTGCACAAGGGCAGCCCCTGCCAGCCCGCTCCTCCCTGCCAGCAGCCCACGGCTGAGCACACAGGAAGGTCAGAGCCGGGAGGAGGGAAAACAGCTCATTCAGCCGGCCGGGAAGAGAAAGGGAAAGAATACCCGGAAAGAAACTTGCAGCACTGCCGTTTATCAGTGGAAAAAAGAATATCCAGGCTCTTTCCACCAGTGGTTTAGATGCAGAAGTGGCCAGGGCGAAGCAGGCCCACGCCATGGCAAGCAGTGGGATGGGGATGGGCACTGGGAACGTCCTCCCACACAAAGTCCTACAGGCACCGCTCCTGCTGCCTGTCAAGATGCAAACTATGAGCCAATACCTGGCAAGGGCTGGGGCCAAATCCTGGTGCAAGAGTGGCAAGGCATTGCCACACCAGTGAGGCGGCTTCACAGAGATACCAGGAGGGAGGAAACCCAGGGCAGATCCAGTTCCAGGAGCCCCTGGGTCTGGGAACGCTGCTTTCCACCACGAAACATCCACGCACGTCCAACCCAGCCCAGCCAAGCAGCGACAAGGACACACGTTCCCAGCTCCTCTCTAAATGATTCAGTTCATCTTGTTGCTTTCATTCTTTTCTTTCTTGTTCCTTAAAGTTTAAAACTGTTTCCAATTCGTTACCTCCCTTAGATTCCTCCTGCCAGTTTCTGTGGTTTTGTAATGTTAAAAAAAAGTTTCCCCTCTGGAAAAATCCCTGCAAACAATAGAAGAAACTGCCTATGCACCAGAAACTGTCAAATGCATGAAGCACTGAGTAAGCAAACTGGAAACACGCCGGAGGAGCCCTTTTACTGTTTATAAAGTGAAAAGAAATAACAAAATCTCTTATCCCCCTCCACAACGTGACATACCAGCTCGGTGTGTTGTTCTCCCAGCAGCTGGGAAAACACGATTTGAGAAGACCTTCCTTCCTTCCCCCTTTAAATGGGATCAAAATCAATGAAAACGGAGCGCTGGGAGCGGGATCCAAACTTTGGGGAGTTGCTTTCCTGCATCCCAGGGCACCCCTACACCCGCCTGTTCCCACGACCAGCGGCAGCCTCACCCCTACTGGGGGCACAGAAAGGCACCCGCGGGCACCGCAGCCCCCCTGGTTTGGTGAGGAGCCCCGAGACCCCTGTGATCCCTGTCCAGCTCACCTGGATGCTGGTGCCCTGCTCGCCCATGGCCCCCATGGCACCTCCAGCCGCCCGGCACCGGCTCCGCGCCCGGCTCCGTGCCGCCCACACTGCCAGCGCCCGGCAGGTGAGGGCAGGTGAGCCCTGTTTGCCACTCCCCCCGGCACACCGCGCCCCACACCCCCACCCAGAGCCGCCCGTGACGCGTCCGTGCCCAGGACTTCGGAGTGGGGAATCCCACTGATCCCCATCACGGTGGCATGTGGCCACAGTCAGGTCGGAAGAGCCGAATTTCCCAAATTTCTCTCCCGTTTTACAGGCAAAAAGCAGAACTGCAAATAACTAACTGGAGATGGACCACTGGAGACCCTTCAACAGGTCACTGTGACAGGAAATGGGGTCCCCAAATTCCCATGAGAGCCCTGAGCAACCGGCTCTGGGGCTTGAGAAGATCTTTCAAGTGGCCTCCATTACCCAGGAACAAGAGGATGACAGTGATGGCAGGACTCAGCATCCCCAACACTTGGCACCACCATGCCAAGGTGGCACGCTGGTGATGCTACAGGTAGCCAAGCTGCTTGCAGGGCTCAGCCCTCCTCCATCCCCCAGTACTCTCCTCCGTGCCCCAGCACTGCCCCTGGGCACAGTCAAGTGCTCAACCCAGCAAAGCCCCATGAGCAAAGTCTCTCCCCAGCAAAAGCCACAACACTGCAGCCCTCCCACAGGGTCATCCCACACCACCCTGAGCACCCCACAGCGCCCAGCCCCACACAGCCCCCCGTGTGACAGGCAGCAGGCAGGTCCCAGTGCCACATCAGGGATGATGTAACCATGAAACCAAAACAGAGGACACCACCAGCATCAAGCAGACTCACAGGCATAAAGCCCTGCCCTACCTCAGCCTGGCTCACCCCCCCCAGCAGACATTATTTTGCCCTCAACCACTCCAATTTTGGCTCAACTGCCTAAATATAAAGCACTGAGCACCTGAAATACACACCCTTAACATAGAGCATGGTCATTTCTGCACCAGCGTCATAAAAAACCACCAGTGGGCTACACTTAATTTGGTAGAAGCATCCAATTTCAGATATTGAAACCAAAATAGCTGAAAGGTATGAATTAGAGCCAGGCAGCGTGGGCAGCCTGGTTCCACCCGTCAACAGATGAACACACAGCAGCGCTTTTTAAAGCCAAACCAAAACAAGCTCCTGCTAAAACCAAGCAAATACCCAGAGAGGTACAAGCCTAAATAAAAGGGATATGAATTAGAACATGAAGTGTCTGAAATAAACTCATCACACCTGCATTGGAATGGCCCTGCTGCAGCAAGGTTTAAAATAAACCCGACGTGGGAGGCAGGTCCGGGGGGTGCTACAGCACCAGGAGGGAGCTGGAGTCACACATTGCTTCGCACTGGCTTGGCTTCCTCTGGAAATCTCAGCAAGAGGAGGAAAATGCAACACCCAGCACTGAGCAAGAGCTCAGAGCAAAAAAAATTCCCTCTTCCAAGCAGATCTGTCCAACCTCAAGTTAAGGGATGGTGTTAGAGCAACCCTGGGGTTCCCAGGGAAGCTCCAGGGATATCTGAGGGGCAGCTCCAGGTAGTTTCTCCACAGGTAGCAGCCACGCGAGGTACTTGGGCACTGGGCAGGTGGCTTTGCTTTTATCCAGAAGGTACCTGGCCGTAGGGTGAGCCACAAAATGCCGTGGAAAGCAGAGTGGAGGGTGGCTGCTGGGGTGGAGTGGGGTGATGCCCAGTTCCATCCGATCCCGTGGGACTGGTGGAAGCTGACTCAGGCAGAAACAACCCCACGTCACCTCTCCACTTCCTGTCACACCTCTGGGAGTGTACAGGCACTCCATCCCACCTTTGATCCGCCACTGGAGCTGGGCTGTGGAGCAGCCACAGCTCCTCACCTGCCTCTCAGGTCGCTGTCCCAGCCATTGCATTCATCCCCTCGGCCCACAGGCCTAAGGTGTATCCAGGGGGAGGATGCTGCCTCCAGCCCAGCGCCGGCAGCACGGCGGGTGGGAGGAAGCAGAGAAGGAAGCGGCCCCAGCTGGGTTTACACAAAGCTGTCAGGCTGCTGTGCTGATGCTGCCCAGGCACGGACAAACCACCCCAACCAGCTCCACCAGCACTGGGAATGCGACTCCCAGCAGCCGGGGAACTGGGCTCGAAGGACGTGCAGAGCCACTCAACACTTCCCAAAGCCCAGGGTGACACAGGATCCTCTGCACATCGCCAGGGCTCCAGGGCACCTGCTTCCAGAGGGCAGGATGGGTCACAGGAGCGTGGCAGCTCATGGAGCACCAGATCACGGGGCTAGAGGTGGGCTGTGACACCAACCAGCTGCCTGCTGCACAAGCTTTCACACCTGCTGTGTTTTTGCTGGTACCATCACCTCTTCATTCCCTGTGCAGACCAGACAGTCAAGCAGGATGCTCAGCAGCACCCTGCAGAGCTGCACCGTGCTGGGTGTCTGCAGAAGCTCACTGCACAAGGTGGAACAGCAGAGCTGTACCAGCATCCACTTACCCTCTTAGGGTCCTGACACCCCCAGGGCAGAGCACTCACATCCCCACTGCGGTGCCAGACACCTGGGTGGGCTGGGATGCCCCCACAGCCAGTCCCCACCCACCCCAACCTGCTCCAAGGGAAGTCCGAATCCATCGCCGGGAGAGACTCCTGGCTCCGAGCGCGTGGCGGGAGGGATAATCTGTTTAGGCTGCCGGCAGACGTAATCAGCCTGTCTCGGGTGGAGGCAGGGCTTGTTTTGTTCAGGCTTGGCAACTGAGCGGGAAGGGGAAGAAAAATGGATTGTTGCAGTGGAGCTTCAGGCTCTGCCTGCAGCACTGAGAGCAGAGTGCACCAGGGAAGCAGTGCCAGGGCTTCCAGCAGCCCCAGGAGAAAACTACGTCCCCAACCTGGACCGGGTGTGAACCCATGATGGAACCCAGCCCACCACCCTTATGGGCTCAGCCCCAATATTCACCAAAGGAGCCTCTCTGACAGCAGTACCTATTACTCCCCAGACCCAGGGCAGCACAACAGGGTCACAGCTCTCAGCCAGACCCACAGAGAGCACAGCCCCAGAGCAAGGACAGTAAGGTCATTGTCCTCTGTGTGTTGGCTCCTGACCCACTCAGGGCTCCCCAGAGCCAGGGGCTTGTTTCTGGCACAGTTCAAGGGAAAAGTCACCACAAACACTGTGGTTGCAACCTCAAAATAGGAAATCTGGGCGTTTTCAGCTCTGCTCTGCTCTCAGTTTTGCACACCTTGGAGCCAAGAGAACATCGCTGATGCGTGAGTCGGAGCAGCCGTCA